CCCCCCCCCCCCCCCCCCCCCCCCCCCGCTGCTCAGAAGGCATTTTGCATGGGCATGCGTGCTTCCGCTGAAAGACAATAGCGTGGGCGCATCAAATGTGATAGCAGGAAATCGAGAACTCGCGTGAAGTTACAGTCATTTGAAGAGCAATTTCTTTGTCCTTTGAATACAGTACTTTCCTACAGAAACTGTTCTCCATATAATTAAGTACAATGCCCAAAGTCGGACAAAAACTTAAAGGACAAATGCTAAATGTTGGATGCGAATAGGTGAATGTACATCCCACAGGACTTGAAGGTCGAATGCGAAAACTTGACCGCTACTTATAAAAAGTGAATGTTGAAAGCGAACACTTGAATGTTGCATAAATGTCATAGATCAAAGTTGAATGTTGAATGCAAACAAGTTGAATCGCGAGTTCAAACTGAAATGACAAACACAAAATGAAGGATAGATTATGCCAAGTACAATGTAAAATGGAACATTGAATTTTGGCGGAAATGGAACGGCCAGAATCTGTTTATAGCCGTGCTGGTATGTTTTTGCATCGTGTTTTTCGGCAGAAAAGATTTAACCGATTTCTATGATTTTTGGCATCTTTAATAAAGAATGACTGAACTTTAAGAAAATGTTATTTATCTTCTTGTGGGTAAAAAAAGCGTTTGAGTTAGCGGCCTCCTTCTATTGAAAACCTCGTTTTTTCAAAAAAAATGTAAATAGCTCCGAAATCCCAAGATGGATTTCCCCCATACTTAAGAAAAATAGCTTCAGAGCTCTCTAGTTTTATATCTCTAGTGCAAGTTTGGTGGCAATCATGACCGTAGAACTCGCTCCACAAAATGTTGGTCAAATTTGCAACGGAAACCCTCACTCATGATAATATATTCAAGATTTCTGGCTTTGCTTTTCACATCCTCACGGGCAGTACGCCACTTGGTGACAATAATGATTATTTACAAAAATAATACGACCTTTGTCAGGACTTCTAAATAATCATTATTGTCCCCAAGTGGCATACTGCCCGTGAGCATGTGAAAGCAAAGCCAGAGACCTTGAATAATTATATTATAATGCGTGAGGGTTTCCAATCAGCTGTCCATTGAAGTTGAAAATTGTATGGCTAGGTGTTCTCGAACTGCGGGTTTATTTCTCCTCTGAACGAGAACCTTTGAAGCTAAGAACTGCCAAGAGGTTTCCGCAGATGCTGTATTTTGTTATGTTGACATTTTTGTCGGAAATGAATGGAAAATGCAGAGTAAGTTGGATAAATAGAATATATTTAATTCCAACGTGCATGTAGCAGAGAGTTGATTGTATCATAGCGCTAACTGTGTTCGCCGTCATTGTCTGATTACTCATTTTCTTCCAACACTGATGCTTTGGGTAAAAACAACGTTTCAGATAAGAGGTAGTTTGTCAGCTTTCGTCCGCTATTTGTGCGTTTACGTTCATAAATGTGTTAGCCTATCATTTTAACATTAAATTTGACAAACATTTTGTGGAGCGATTTCTACGGTCGCCATTGCCTTCAAACTTGCAGATATAAACCTTGGCAGCTCTGAGGCTTACTTGCTGAAGTTAGGGAAAAATCTGTCGTGGGATTTCAAAGTTATTTCCATTTTTCGTAAAAATGTGGTTTTAAATATATGCCGATATCTCAAAAATTTTTATACCTTCAAGAAAATAAATAACATTTTCTTAAAGTTCCATCATTATTTGTTAAGGATGTCAAAAATCGTAGAAATCGGTTGAGTCTTTCATTCCGAAAAACGCGATCAAAAACATAACCAACACGCATGTAAATAGGTTCGGGTCAGTATCTGACATCAGTATCAGCATCAGTATCTTCTTGATCATTCTTCCCATGAGGTTCTATGTAGGTTCACCTGGATACTATGAAAAGCTGTCAATAGAAACGTTAATCACAGACAAATTCACCCATCCATTTGTGTCATGTTTGTTGTTGCATCCCAACTTAGTTGGGTCCTTTAGTAGTAGTATTTCTGTTTTGAGGAAACAGCATTATATGCACTACCCTGACACCTTAATGGAGAAAGCAATATCGTCCCCTAACAATGTCGCCGAAGCCGAATTTCAAGGGATCAAATTCACGCTCAGAAAGAGAAATAAAATTTCGTCGTTGTTTGTTTACGTCCTCAATAAAACGCGAAATTAGGCATTTTCACGTCGTAGTCGTGCAAAAACGGGAAAGAAATGTACAAAAAAGTGTGATGCACGTGCGAAGTTGTTGTTTTGCTAATTAAACCAATTGTTTTTTTGACGTTCTCGTTGTCGTCCGCGTCGTTGGATCTTAAAGTCCCTAATGACGTCGTTGTAACGCCGTCTCTGGGAACGGGAGTCCCTTACGCTAATGCGAAGGGTGTTTTGTTTTTGGTGTTGACGAAAAGGGAAGTGATGGTCCGTAGGCATGCTTCTACCGTATCACTTATACTTTCCGGACTAAGTTCAAGTAATAATGTTTCATGTTGTTTGGATAACATAGAAATTTACTTCCATCTCTGAATCTTGAAGTAGCGAACGTTTTCACCGAGTGTTGAATTAGCATTTACGGAAACCCTCATATCCAATAGCCCCAAAGTCAGGACCGCCAGAGTATACGGTATATTCCAGCTGAAATAACTAAGAATTTCGGGCGTTCTGTGCGTCACGATTCCTCCAGTTTCGATGATATTAAAGGAAAGGTTGAAAAATGTTGGTACTTTAGCCCACATTTTTCTGTTGGAATACTACTTTTGCTCCTTGCTCGGGGTATACCAAGTGAAGAATGGACCAAGCTACTTACGCAGATTAGCTGCTATATTATGGTATAAAATGCTGTTTTATTCATAACCTCTTTTTGAGCTTAATACTGCATTACTCAGAAAACTATAGGAAACGAGGTAAGCATGCTGACAAGTTCCGTATTTTGCAGTGCAAACGATTTGAACGTTGAAACTGACAAAGAGTTGGGGCGAGTCAAAAAATAGGCGCCTGCCCTGCTGGCTAGTTCATCAAAAAAGAGTCGAGGTAGGTAAGATATCTGTTTTAAAAAAATCTATTTGTTATTAAATGTGACAAACAAAGAAAAAGACCTCGCTTTGTTTTAGCTTATAATCCTCTGGTTAGTGACGTCACCAATAATTTCGTACCTCATACGCGAAACAGCAGAGAAGACCGCCATTTTCCCCGATGAACTATCAAACTTGCCGTTTTCCGTTAATTTGTTGGTCAATTTCATTTTTGAGAGAACTGTTTTTACGTTGAGATACATGCGTGCGACAACTACTGCATAACATTTTGAACTTTTCTTTTTCGGATAGATCAGCCGACTGCAGACCACCTCTGCTGTTTACCGTACAGATGATGAGGTTAACGTCTCTATTCTTTTAAAAACCCTTACAACAGGTGTATTTTCTAATACCAATGAGAATAAAGGTTTCTGATGGCTCCTTGGCTCTACAAAAATCTTACTCGAACAATAGAACTTATCTAGTGAGAAACACCATTCAAAATTCAGTGCCCTATCCCCGATATATTATTTCTTTATTACCTACTACTATCCGAAAGGGTGAGGCAGCCTCCTTTCTAAATTATGTCAAAAAGTCCATTGTCAATGGGTTCTGTAACTTCTTTAAATGGCGCAATACCACAAACGTGCTGGCAATTGGCCAGACTCGTACCCAGTCACCACTTATTTATTATCGCTAGGGAAAATGGAAAGGAAAATTGATGCGCGCAAAGGCGCTTGGGAGGGATGTAGAAAAAGTGAGTTTTTCTTCCTTCCTTCCCTTGATGCACCACGAACTCACTAAATCCTTCCCATTAATCACAGCGTGAAAACAGAGAGGGGACTGGGTACGAGTCTGGTAACTGGCCGCTTCATCCAAGTTTCTACCATCTAATCTGGACTCAGATACTCCGCTGCACGCGAGAAAAACCTTTGGTACCCAGGGTATGTTCTTCACAGCCCGTTTAGCAAAATTGGCAGGGTTCACATACCTTGAAATAATCTAAGAACGTAAATCCTAGAGCTAGGTAAATCTAAAACACAACGAAATAAAAAAAAGTTATTAGAATACCTCACCAAATTGAAGTTCAATTCAGACTCGAGTGGCACTCATTTAGGGGTGAAGTTGACCAGATCAGATAAATAGTTGGCCAATATCAGCAACCAGTGGCGACCACTGTAGACAACCTTGTTCTCATTAGAGAAGCATATGACATTAGCGTCACGTGCTTCACCATGAATCAAAGGGAGAAACAGGGAGAAGAGGAGTTATTTGTATCCTTGATTACTGTTAAATTCTTCAGCTAATAGCGCGATTCGCCTTTGTTTACTGTAGAATCGAATATGAACTAGGCCGATCAAACCGACATGCGATCCTGTTCCATACTTAACAAAGGCGAATCGCGCAATAAGCGGAAAAATTTAACTGCAATCAAGGACAAAATAACTCCTCTGCTCCCTGTGCTATTTCCTCTTTAGAGATCGCAAGCGCGCGTATAGAGGCAAAATCCGCGAAGGATTTATTGTTTGTGCTCGTTCTCGAGCTCTGCGCTGGCTTTCGCGTGCGAGCTTCATATGCAAGCTGTCGAATAGTTTTAAGGTGTACAAGTCTAGCCTGGAATGAGTATCAAATCTACTTAGGAATGGGGAACGGTTGTGGAAGGGGCGAGAATACGACAATTGCACGATGACGTCATTTACTACAACTACCAGAATCCTAGAGTTTGCTGTTTTCTTGTGCAAATTAAGGCTATTGTTCTTTGATCCTCAGCGGGATTGACAAATTTAAATAACAAAGCAAAACCGAAATGAATTCTGGCAGTTGTAGTCAAATATCGTCATCCTGCAATTGTCCTATTCTTCAGCTACAGTCAGTAACCCAGTCAGTCAGAGTTAGTTTATCATTCACCCAGTCGATGAATTAACCAATCAGTCAGGCATTCAGCCATTTGCTCGATCAGTCAGTAAAAGAGTTATAGACATTTAGAGAGTCAGCTGATCTGTGACAGACCGTTCGTCTGTTCGTAAAGCCACTCAATCACTTAGTGACAGTCATTTATAAAAGCCTGCGAATAGAGTTTTTTCTAGAAAGAACATGTCCGACCTGGTCTTGTTGTTTTCGGACAAACCAGAAAAGTTTTCGGACATTCATTGTGTTGACCTTTTTTTTTTAAATTACTGTGCTAATCTTAAGCTACAAAATTATAAGTATTTGAATTGCCCGATCGTCACGTCCGGACGCAGGTAGAATTTATTCAGACAAGGGAAAATTTTTGCTAGATATTGTCCTGTGACCAACCTTTATCATTCACCCGATGTATTTTATACGTACCAGTATCAAAAGGAAAGTGATATAAAACAACAGAATCACTGAGACTAGAATGTAGTAGCCAACATTTGCCGGTATTTTTTGCTATAGACAAAATAAAGAAAGAACAAAACATAAGAGATTTTGCATTTTACACTATTTCCTCAGTGATTATACTCACTACAAAACTGATACAATAATACTGTAAACAAATAGAATAACTGCTAGTCCACAATTTGTCATTGTCTTCAATGATCTGACAAATAACTAGCCATGCCAAGCTATGCCTAAGAGCGGAGCTCCAGTATAATACATAATTTAATACTTACCACATACTCAATGACGAAGAACAAGTTAATTCCTATAACTAATATTGACAACATCCAAGCCACAGTTTGCATCACCCTGTAAACAAAAAGCCTTCAGAAAATTCTTTCAATTTTTCAACTGAAAGAGTGCGACTCATTGTCATTGCAAAATTTGTCTCAAGGATGACTTTTACAAGCTCTAGTTATATATCTAGGAATATTTTTAAACAAAATTCGATTGTTTTGTCCTATTAAGTATCCTTTCCGACAGCCCACTGTTTGTGGAAATTTTACTTGCACGTAGAATTTCTTTTCCAAGCATTTGAAAATGGACTACACCGCGCTAAATATAGTTTTTGGTAATCAAACAAAACACTGAGAAAGAAAAAAAGTATTTCAGTTGTAAAATCTATGTATTCACCTTCCATTTGTATAGGATTTCATCAATACTGGATCACCAGTAAACTGTAACACTGGAATTAAAGCAAACGGCAGCTGCAAAAGATAGAAGGAAGCAAGTTACTTAGAATCCAACAAAATTAGACAATGTTGGGCGCCTCAGTGCCATCTCAAAGATCTATAAACCACATCATAGAGTCTTGTCATGATAACACATTCTACATTGCTTCTAGTGTTTTATTCTATTCAAGCCCACTTGTACGTGGAAATTCTCATCTTGTGCCTGCCATACATAGCGTCTGCTACCAGGACGTTTTTGAAGCAGGGCTGGGATGGGGAAGGCAAAATTATTGTAACAACACATGTGATATTTTTAATGATATATGAAATAAATCATATATGAACTGAGGAAGTGAAATGAAAATGAAGAAACGATCGTGGCAGTGAACGCAATTTATGCAATTGCGTAAAGAAGCCTGGAAAAAAAATTCAGGCCTTCAACGGGGTTACAACCCGAGACCTTGCGATTACCGGTGCGATGCACCGATGCTAATGATATGTTTTGCAAACATATTTGCAGAGCTTTTTAGTGAACAACAGAAAAAAACAGTGACCAAAGACTCTTCACCAATTGGCACTGAAGACTCTTTGCCAAAGAAACCTGCAGAAACAAGCCAAAGGATTCCTGAGTCTTCTTTAGATGACCAAAGACTGCAAACAAGCCCCACTGTGGAAACATCAGGCCTATCATATCATGCAAATTATACAGACCACACGCTGCAGTCAAGCTCATCATTTCCAACCTTACCACCACCTCCACAACATCTTTATCCATTCCAATACCCCCCGACCCCTCCCCCATGGGACTTACCTCTGGTACCATCAACGCATGCAACACTTCCAACATACATGCAAAATTTCCCTCCTCTACCTCTCCCTCCTCCACCACCACCACCACCACCCCCTCTTTCCAGTGAGCCATCTGTTCAAGACAATTTTAAGACAAGTGAAGGAAGTCAACAAGAAAGGCCATTTACTGTTTACATGTCACAAGTCATGATTGGACCACAACTTGAGGAAGGGTAAGCTATACGTAGCTGTAAAATTTGGTGATAATTGAAATTTCTGATTAGCTAAAATCTGGGCTGGCTAATTTTTTTCTTGCCAAGCTAACACTGGATGAGGGTGCATTTGATTGGGAAATCTGGATTTCTGATTTAATTTGTAATCAAATGCAAAAACTGGAAACAAATTTTAACTTTGAGAAATTTGTCCATTTCAATAAGAAATCCAAATTCAATTGGAAAGGTTAGAAATCTGAGAGAACAACAGTACTAAAAGTGACTTTTTGCATTGTACAGTGACAAATTCGCCCGGGATAAAGGAGTTAACTTTTATTGTCTCTTTCTTCTTTTCAGAACATCTTCTAATCATGCTTCCTTGGTAAGAATATTTTTTTTGCTTACTTTTTTCAAATTTTTTTTTTCAAAATCGTAATAACAATATTGAATAAGGAGAATGACTATCATTATACAGTACATTGTATATTAATCGTGTTTATACTTTTATACAGTCTTATTGCATTTCTTTTAACAATGAAGTCACAGACTGAAGCCTGCACATTTAAATGAAACCTCTTCAGTAGTACTTTCATGTGATACTATTTATTTTAATAGTGTGCAGTTCTAACTATTGAGTCTGTGAACGAAATCCTATGGTGTGACCATGTATTAAAAATTAAACCATTTTGGTAGTACTTTCACTTGGTACTATTCTGTTTTCAGCATTTCAAGACATGGAATTTGGAAATCTGTTGAATTTTGACTTCTGGCACTTTTCTTTGGGAGAAAAACAGTTAACATGTGCATTGATTTTGCTTGTGTCACCTAAGATGTCTGTTTTACTGAGAGCTAAAAGACTTCCTTACCAAATCTAAGTAATATGAATGTATTTGTTATCTGTCGTGTCTTCAGCTTTGTTATCACCAAACCACTTTCAATTGTTTTGAAATTTATTTTCCAATTTTCCAGACTGGTAATGAATCACTTGATAAGACTGCAATTTCTATCAGAAATAGAATACACAAGGTAATGTCTTTATTGTTATGAAAATATCAAACAATAAAAAAGAAACCTTCCCTGTCTTTCTGTTATTATTCATTATCATCTTCTAATTTTTGTTATTATTAATTTTAGTTCCCTTCCATCCTGGTTCTCCTTGCTTGCCTTTCTCCTGCTTCGCATTTGATGGGGCTCCAAGGCTTTACTTTGATGAGCACCCATTTAAGTTTATATTTTTTCCTAGAGTTATTCAGAATGTCAGATTTCTTTGCAAAGAGATGTTCACACAGTGTTTTCAAAGCTTTCACACAAGTGAAGATGTGATGGCCTGTCAACATGTTGCAGTTTCTTACAATGACATCATTACAAAATTTCGTTTCTGCCAATCAGCATTTTGCATCCACTTTTTTGATGCAGAAAAACAAAATCCTGAGATGTAACTGCAAGCTTTCGTTTCTTTCTTTCCCCCCTTCCCCTGCACCCAGCTTGCATGCTATTGATGGAACTAAAGTGAAACCCTGTTCATGTGACCACTAAGGAGCAATAAAAATGTATCAGGTTAACGAGGTTTTCAGAGGACTGTGCTTGTATTTTTTGTCAGTATTTAGACCAAACAAATGCGGCCATATTAAATGACGAGGCAGTTGCATAAATGGGGTGGTTTATAACAAATTTATTCTGTGTTTTGTTCTCTCCTGCAGTTATCAAGAACTCACGAAGAGACAACCGCTGCTACTACAGAAAATATTCACATAGTTCAGGTACATTCTATGTATTAAATGATTGAAGAGAAGGTAGCTTACTGGTATTTAATGATACAGTGCATCTTCTGCCCTGTGAGCCAGTTATCATACCAAGTTAGTTTATTAATGTTCGTTGTCAGCAGTCTGTTTCTACATTCACATGTACGGTAAATCTTCTCTCCAATAATGGACACCACACAAAACAGACCTTACTGTTTTTTTGACTCTCTATAAGTGGGTTATTCTCTTTTACACAGTTATCACCATGATTATTATTATTATTATTATTATTATTATTATTATTATTATTATTATTATTATCACCATCACTGTCACCACTACCAGCATCAACCACCACCATCATTACCCTTATCCTCATTTATTTACTTATTTTATTTAATTTAAATGTGAAGTTTTGCAATCTAGATACCCACAGGTAGGCAACGCATACCTGAAGGAAGGATCACAAACTAACAAGTCTCCAATCTTTAGAGCTAAATAATGCTAGACAACGTTACATATCTTTTTCAATTTACCAACATTGGCCAATGACGCAGCATTGTATATAAAGAAGGTAGTATTTCTTTTTCATTTTTTCTTCGATAGAATCCTGAAGAATCAGCTACATCGTCAGTCCCGGCAAAAAGGAAGAGGAAGAGGATTTGAAAATCTGAAAAAAGAAAATTGGCAAAATCTTGCAGCCCACCTTTCGCTCTGTGGTGGCAAAGTGCTCCAACAGATACTGAGTTAAAAGTCGTGTGATTCACTCTTCTCAACCTTCTAAGGGGTCACTAGATCTTGATGACTTTTTCCAAGTCAAACTCTTGCTGTTATTTTATTCATTTAACTCTGTTGTGGGGCCGTGCTGGTCATTTGCTTAATAAAACTAGCGTCATGCAGACTTTCAGCTGGAGAGGTTTCATTTCATTTTGTAGCCTTTTGCAATTCCAGCGTTAGAAATACAATATTAATTTACATGACTCCATATTTTACTCTGCCAAGAGGTTGGAAGATTGTGACATGGTACACAAAGAAAAACTTAGACCAGGTGAAGCACTGAAGGACAATGGTGGAGAAAGACATAAATGAGTTTCGGTGAAACAACTGAACTCCTGCTTTGCAGCCAGCCAAAAGTAAAGCTCAATTGATAACATTTTGTTTTCTTCTTGTGCCACCCATTGCGTGATAAAAATGACGACGACGATGTGATCGTGAGATGATGGTGATGATGATAATGGAAATGATGATGGTGTTGAACTTGAGTAGTAGGATGATGATGACGACAACGATGACGATGATGATGTTGATGATGATACTGGTGCTGGTGGTGGTGTTGGCGACCCGAGACAAGCATTAGGATGATGAAGATGACGATAAAATTGCAATGATAATGATGACGACGGCGAGGATGATGATAACGACGACTATGATGGCGTGTGTAAATGACGTTGACATTGCAATGACGAGGAAGACGACGACGAGGATTACGATGACGATGAGGAGGAGGGTTTTGACGATGAGGTCAAAGGCGGCCACGATCGCACCAAAGACTAGGTACAGGGGTAGGAACAGGATAAAGGCGATGCCCCGAGCTATGATCTCGTCTCCTCTCGTCATGAGGAATTACAGCTTTACAAGCAGGTATTACAATATTCCAACCAACTTAAGCCGAGTGGCACTTTGGGAAACTTCCTTTCTTCTTCGCCAGATCCTGATATTATCAGGGAGAACCACGAGAAACCCCTGGAAGAAGAATTAACAATTTTTATCTCAAAGTCGTAAGTATTGAAGGAGGTTGAGCCCTCTCCAGATTGCAAAATGCTAAAACTTCTAACATTTGGTAACTTGTTCCCACCACTATGACACTCTGGCTAAAACTCGTAATAGAATGACGACGACTACCGCATTTTCCCGGAAAAATGACGCTGCCTCACGCGCGAGCACTACTTACGATTGAGAAAATCTCGTACTCGTAGTCGTTTTCGTCTTAGAATCTAAAGGTTTCTTTTAAGTAAAGGCAACGTTCACACCAAACCGGTTACCTGAATAGCAATCCGGTAAATTATCAGGGGCGGATCCAGGGGGAGGGTTGAGGGGGTTGCAACCCCCCCCCCCCTTCCTTTGGGAAGTTTCCGAGCTTGTTTGGTTACAGCTGGATGATGAAGAAGAAGGCATAATGGGAGAAGGACATTTCATTTCCCAAATCCCTTGGAAATGAGGTACGTAGATGGAAAGCACTCTAGCTGTCAACAGATGAGAAGCTTCCAAACAACCTTTTACTAGCAATCGGTGATTTCGATGAAGATGATTTCTCCAACATCCATCGCCTTCTGGTCAGTGTCTGAAGACACCTGCTGAAAAGCGATTCTCTGATCTCGCAGTGATCGCCATGCAATCGTCGAGGTAGACGAGATATGAATAGTACCTCAAATTCCTCTGAAATCCAAAATAAAACTGAAATCTACATATTCAGACGTAACCCGAACTCTAACCGTTCCCCCACCCACCACCTCTTCCATTCCTTTGGCCCTGGGACGTTTGCCTTGAACTCTCATACTTACAACCCCCTTTTTGGAAAAATCCTGGATCCGCCCCTAATTATGAACAGCAACGGCACGGAACTGCAACAAGTCGTTCACTGACACCGAACACCGTAACGGAGCGGTTGGCCGACAGGGCTTGGTGCACTAAATCCCAGCCCTCACTCCTGAATATTAACTTCCGTCTCAGCGGATTCCAGTCCTCGCTCCTACTTGTTCACTTCCGCTACGGCCTGAATATCCGTTCACATTATACCAAAGTGTGGCACAGAACCTCTCGGATATGTGACGCTCCACTTTCGAGATCAGCGCGGCGCAGCTTCGTTCCGGTACAGAAATCGCGCCAAAATCACCGTGCCGGTGCAAGAACTATCCAGTATGTAGTGAACGTAGACTAAGCTACCATAAAAAACGGCGAGTACGCCACTAAAATCGGACTGTGCAATTTTAAAATGTCATATTTCTCATTTTTTTTTTTTCTTCAATTTGAATTTTTCAGGATGTGAATAAAGTCGTAGTCGTGCAGGACTGGACGTCAAAGAAATGTAATAAAAAGCGTGATGCACGTGCAGAGTTGTTAATCGTTGATGACGTCATTATTTTTATTACAACTACCTTCAGTTTGTTGTTTTCTTGTGCAAATTAACTATAAACCACAGCGGAAACGGATTGACAAATTTAATAAACGGAAGAAGGCAAAACGAAATGAATTCTGACAATTGTAGTCAAATGTCATCGTTAAATTGGCCCATTGTTTTCTGAGGTGGTCTTTGCCGTTGTAGTCATGTATGCATTTTTGCTGGGTTAAGGTGATTCCCTAGTAAAAGAACCTAACATAGATTGTAGATGAAACTTGGTACACTGATTTAACAGGTCAAGAAGATGATAAAAAGGTAATAAAAAGTGGGGGTCACCGTGCTCGTTTTGACGTCACAATGCTGACAAATACAGCTATTTTGGACCCTTTGACAAAAACCGCGCTCAGCCCAAAACTAGACAAAAAGGAACGATTTTTTCAATGATGCATGTGGTATCGCACAGAATTTGACTTTAATGTATTGTTTATCCACTTACGTACCAGAAAAATGCTTTTTAATGCCCTTGTTTTTACTTTACGCTCCAAAGTAGAATTAAATTAGACACGCGCTATTCAACACGTGATAGCTTAATCCGTACAATTTAGTAAAATTGCTAAAAAACTGAACATAGATTTGTGCCAATTTTTTTCTCACCTAAAGGAAGCACTGTCCTTATTAAAATCATGAAATAAAAAATGGGGGTCACCGTACTCGTTTTTGCGGTAGAGCTGCAGAAAGTGCGCACCAAATGCATTTTCCTTGATTTTTGAGAGAGGACTGGGGCGAGTCTCAAAATAGAATGTATGCGAAAGGGGGAAAAAAGTATTAAAAAATCCGTTTTTACAGAATTTACATCGAGATATCAAATTTAGGACACAATGTGATAAAGAAAACGTTTAAATGAAAATCAAAGTGAATAAGCACAAATTAAACATCCACTATCGAGGTTCTCCGTGAGGAAGTCGAACACAGCAACATGCGTACTACTTACGTTATGCACATTCCCAACACATTGAGTCTCAGGTCATTGTGGTTACCAAGTAGGGGACGGAAAGTATAGCTGGCGGGTATTATCACCCTAGGGAAAGCAATTTCCATGGTGCTAGGATCTTTTACGATCTTCCTCTGAATACAGAAAATATATGGCGGTAGGATGTTCCGCCTCCTATTAACTTCCCAGTGCTAGGATCTCCTCTCTCCCACCTCCCCCCTCCCCCCCTGTAAATAGCGCCTAAGCTCCTTTCCTTACGGAAGAGCAGCCAGTACGGGGTTAGGTTGTCCGGTCAAACGTACTCGTGCTCGGAGTCACCAAAATTTAACAAATTGAACAAATTGAACGGCCCAACTCCACACGTGGCCTGAAAATTTATCCGGAGTGGTATACACTTCCCTACGACTTGGAATCAAAATTTTAAGTTTTCATTGAAATTACGTATAAATGTACAGGTTACTTATCCTGCCTGTACAATGTCAAAGCCGACGCGGAAGCCAACAACAACAAACTCTCCAAAGCAAATGAAGAGCGTGGTGATCACATGGTTTAAACGTGAAAATGAGGCACGACTTTTAAAAGTGAAAATGAGGTGTTTGCTTGTTCTGGGTTTTCGCAGAGCCCGCTTTCCTTTTTGGTCAGCACTTAGAAAAGACGAGATCTTCGGACCGGAGTCCCAAAGCCTCTACTGTTGGGACAGGATATTGAAGGGCTAAACCGCCACAGACAATTTTACGACAGTAACGAGGAAACCTCGTGCCAGTTCCAGAAGCATTTCGGATTAGCCAGAAAGTGTCAGCAGTGAGAATTTAAAATGCGTCTGCAACCCCATTTGGTCATGTACTAAGCATTTTGTTCTTGGTACTGACCAATACGAAATCGGCGCCCAGGGACAAGATGGTTGAGAAAGAAGATTGTACTTCCAATAAACAAATATTATTATTGTTATTGTTATTGTTATTGTTATTGTTATTGTTATTGTTATTGTTATTGTTATTGTTATTGTTATTGTTATTATTATTATTATTATTATTATTATTATTATTATTATTATTATTATGGCAGTACAAACGTCTAGATGCCCAGAGTAAAAAACAAAAGCTTTGGCTGGGCGGCAAACTGTAACCAGCCGCAATGTCGACTAAAATTTGTAGTAACAATTATACAATAATTTGCGCAAAAAAAAAAGAACTGGGTAAAAATGATTTGATAAAAGTGTCATAAGAAAATCCTACAAGCTTTATGGACGTCTTAATTATATAATAAAAATGTTCATAAGTTAAAAATCATCGTTCATGTAGCTGTCCATTTAATAATGAGAACGTCTAAGGCATGTCAATAAAATTTCGATAATGTACAAGATTAAGTATCTGTTAAAATAGGTGTCCAAAATTCCTATAGATATCTACCCGCTCAGCTTGAACATTCTTGCTATGTGTAATGAACTAGACAGGATTGCCTTTTGCATTTGGTGCATAATTGATTCACACTTGTCTCCTACAAGCTCTTTTACATTTTCCTCAACCTCTTTCGAACAGCCTACAACGACATCCATGATGAGGTTATACTGATTGACCTTGTACTCAGGATATCGGTTCGTCAGCTCTAGTCTCAATTGACTGTACTTCGTTGTTTTCTCGAAAGCTTTAGTCACTTGTGTCAAACAAAGAATTGTGGGTAGAAGAAAAATAAATAGGGAGGGGGAGGGGAGGGGTAAGATAGTAAGTCTGTTTACACCCACTTCTACACAAGTCCCTAACCACAAAACAAGCCAAAAAAAAAAACGACATAAGCAAACAACACAGTAAACAAGCTATTAGACAGGGGAAATTGAGGAAAATTACAAAATGTTTGCTAACCTGGTTTTCACAACTCCAGGTATAATTCTATTGATTATCTAAAAACCGGTCTGTTAAAATTTGGTCAAATGGGTTTCAAATGGTAATGATCAATTATAGTAAGCTGTGTGCAAGTTTATAAAAAAATCTAATACGCGAATTTTATGTAAACTGAGCAAACGCAAAATTTTAATGTTGAATTCAATCGTTCATGTTGCCATGGAAACTACGAAAACGTCACATTTTGCCCGTCAGTCAAAATCTTTTATCAGTATATTTTTCACTTGCCAAGTTTCAACTTTTTGAGCTGCAACCTTTCTCAAGATTGGGAAATAACATATACTCACAAACTGCCAAAACTGTGTTAACCTTAAGTTAATGATTAATGAAACTAAGAATACCTCCGCAAATGAATGGTGCTTTGATAAAGGCTGTGAAAAATCGCATTCTGCAGTAATTTTGGCTTTCTCCACCGGTACGTCTTCGTTGAGAAATAAAATACAAGCACTTCAACTATAAATCGGGCCATTTGAACTAAGAGGTCATGTGGCATCATTTTTATAAAAATGAAAGTTATATATTTTGCCTTCAAAAAACGATTAGTAGGTCGTATCTTAAACAAAATGATAGTGATTTAGTTTTTCCAACCCGCACCATTTTCTTAAAATGAGTAAGTTCGTAGCTGGTCACGTGACTACAATGTGATTTTTTTTGGAACTAAGAATTACCTCTTTCTGAACAAAAATTTTGCACAGTACCACCCCCCCCCCCCCCCCCCCCGCCCGGCGGTTCCACCACCTTTTTAAAGGCATAGCACCAAAAATTAGGAAAAAAAAACCAACACGGCTAAAAAACCCCCCTGCAAACAAACCAAAATAATAATATAATTCTTTTTTCCCTCACACCAATTCTTCTGTTACCCCCCCCCCCCCCCCCCCTCCCGGGCCGGAAGTTCCAGCTCGTTTTGAACGGCATTGACCGAAAAGTGTAGCATAATCATCAGCTCAGTGATAAAACCCGCTTGGAAAACAACTCCAAAGTTCATGATCATTCTTTTGCCGAACTCAAATATTCTCGTGTAATCATCTTGTTGACCTTGATGGAACCGGTGATGCACGTGATTGCCATATGACAATTGCTTATGACGTAAATAACGCGAGCTAAATTATTCAAGATGGCGCAGAAAATGCAGACGTACGACGAAACTCGCTTGCTGAAAAGGTCACCCTTGAGTACCACAGGAACCCCAAGTGAGTACCACAGGAATCCCAAGATTATGTGTTGCGTTCGACGTTAGGAATCTATTTAACCGTAGAGTTCCAATAATTGCGACAATATTCTGCGAAACGTAACGTCTCAACACACCACAGAACAGGATTTCCCCGGCCGCGATAATATTTACTCATGCTACTCGAGTGATTTTTATACTACTACGTGAGAAATTTCTTCAATTTGATTGGCTTAGAGCAGTCGTATTTCAGCTTAATTTGAAATACCTCAGTACATGTGAAAATTACAAAACCTTTGCGGGTAGTAGTATAAACAAATAATAGCATGATTTATACGTGATATTTGGCATAAATACCACTCGTGATATTTCAAAATTGTCACCATTGCCAAACGGCGTATGCTCATCACGAGACTCATTTGAAGTCGTCAAGATTCTTATCCCCAGTTTCCACGGTCTCCGCTAGGAACGCCTGGGACCATAGCCGACCATTTGGGGAAGACACACGAAAAAAAGAAGAAGAAGAAAAAGAAACGCCAGCATTTTTAGAGTCTCAATCTGCTAAAGCAAGCTTGACTAACAAGGTTCTCAGATAACTGTACTTGTACTTTTCTTCTTTAAAATGAACAAATGTGATCATATTAACCTTTTAAGCTCCAAAAGGGACTAACATCAATTTTCTCCCAACAAGATCCGTGCATCATCGTCAAGAGAAAATGTTGTGCAATAAAATGATCATCAAAAGGAAAAATGCTTTGATCTAATTGTCTGTCAACTATTTCTGCAGGGAATGTATGGAGGTGATCCTGGAGAATTTGTTTGTGGATATTGGAGTTTAAAGGGTTAAAATAATATTAATAATGACAATGGCACGATTTAGTTATTATTGTTCTGGCCCCGGTTGTTCAAACGTCGGATAGCGCTATCTACCGGATAAATCACTATCCAGCGGATAGCGTAATTGATTTCCGTAATACTTATCGGCTGGATAGTGATTTATCCGGTGGATAGCGCTATCCAACGTTTGAACAACCTGGGCCTGGTTTTTTGCTCTGTTACAGTTATCAAGACCTAAAACACAATCAGCTTCTGGAACAGCAAATGCTTATCTTATTATTATTATTATTATTATTATTATTATTATTATTATTATTGCTATTACTACCACTTCCACTGGAGTAACCTTTGTTCTTACACCCCAAAAGTTTCGAACTTCTTTTGCAATGATACTTTGTAACTTTCTCATCTTCCTTTCCTCTCACCAATCCATTCTCCAGAATTTCCACATTTATGATTTGACCGCTTTTATTTCTCTTGTCAATGCTCACCAAATCCGTTTTTTTGGCCCCAATTTCATCATGTTCAAACACACAGTCCTCAAAAGTTTGTAGATGACATTTTCAAGCACATTTTTTCTGAGGCTTACCATCTTTCGTTCTGCTCGATCCATAATTTCCAGCCAGATTCCAATAGATCGCCTTACCCACTTTTTCAGTCAATTAATACTTTAAGTCATGTCCTGTCTCGAGACGTTAGAATCAGGACCTTTGACAAATGGTAGCTGTTCCAAAAAGTCAGCTCTCTATTCATCAACGTGACACTTCCATTTTTGGTTTTACCGCAAACTCGTCACAAAGTTTTAGAGCAAAAAAACCCTAGACACTCAATGCTAAATATCTTATTTGATTTCTATATATTAGTTTATAAGACTAAACAAAGAATTCATATTTGTTTTTTATTTTAATCGTTAGAGTCCTGGCCCCAGTTGTTCAAATAGTGGATAGTGCTATCCACCGGATAAATCACTATCCAGTGGATAACGCAATGGGCTCCCCTTATATTTATCCGCTTCCAACGTTTAAACAACCGGGGCCTGGAGAATCCACTACGTCATCAGTCCTAGCAAAGAAGAAAAGGAAAAGGATGTGAGAAGCTGACAAAATTCTGCAGCGTATTTGTCGCTTCTCGTGCTGGCAACGAATCCAAAAGCTGCGAAGCCAAACGTCTTGTGAATCATTATATCAATCTGTTTAACCTTGTAAGAGCTAGTTCACTAGCCCATATCTTGTTCCAAGTTGAGCTCTGCTGTTAGTTGTCTATTCATCTCTGTAGTAAAGTTGTGGTGGTCAAATGTGAAAATGATAAAGGAAAATAGCATCAGGCGTGGAGACTGCCACCTGAAGAGGTTTCATTAAAAGGTAATATCTTGTAACTCCAGTGCTAGAAGTACAATATATACATTACACCGTATAGTCAACTCTGCTGGGAGGTTGGAGGATTAACAGGGAAGAAATCACTCAGTTTAATTTTGACCGCGGGAACGGATAAAGTAATAAAAGATAAATTATATAATGGCGAATATCTTGATTTATCATCATCACGACGGCGAGGATGATGATAATGTTGACGACGATTTTGATGGCTAAGGTGAATGAAGTTATCATAGCAACGACAAAAAAGATGATCAGGAGGAGAATTATTTTGATGCATAACATACATATAACAGTAATGATCGCTTCCAAAAATGCCTCAGCGATTGCCTGAAAGAATCCCTCTATCGAACGTTTGAGAAGACCGTCGTCGGAGTTGCCAAGGTTGTCGGGCATGATGATTTACCGCCTACCCCGTACAGGTGTTCTAATCAGATATTCCAATCGGCTTGAGCCAAGTTGCACTTGAGGGAATTTCCTCTTTTCCTTTTCAAAACCTGATGTCATGTGGAAGAAAAACCATGAGGACCTTCATGAGGTAAAGTTGTTGCATGCTATTCACGTTTTGCTAATACTATGTACTTGTTGACTTAGTGGGAAGGCCAGACGGGAAAATATCTGGCTCGAGGTCAGGACGTACGGACCAAGCGCGAATGCCAAGGGCGAACCTGCATCGATCAGTACGCTTTTTTAGCCGGGCCGTACTCGTTTTTCCAGCCCTAGCAATTAGGGAGTTTTAGCATCGACGACGGCTACAGCAGCGAAAACGTCACTTTTAAACTAAGTCAAACTTTATCTCGTTTATTCCAATTCGCTGAAAATGTCAAATGTAGGCAAATTTCCCTAGATTTGATTTCTTGGGGACCACACTCAAGTTTAGAAAGAGAAAGAAAATTTCTTCGTCGCTTGTTTACGTCCTCCATAAAACGTGAAATTAGGCATTTTCACGTCGTAGTCATGCAGCAACGGCGAAGAAATGTACAAAAAAGCTTGATGCACGTGCAAATTTGCTGTTTTGCTCAATAAACCTATTGCTGTTTTGACGTTCTCGTTGCCGTCGCCGTCGTCGTTGCTAAAACTCCCTATTGACGCGTACGGCCCTCATTTGGGACTTTTTTCATATGGTTTTCCAACGAAATCCACCGTACCTAAAAAGATGGCGACTGGTACATTTACCCACAGTTCTTAGCGCATGAAAACAATAAAATTGCTCATAAAAACGCAGAGAAAAGTTTTATAAACTTCAAACCTAGGATAGGCAATGTTGCTATTACATGGACGAATTTCGCACCCCCAAAATATGACTTTATGTGTAATTGGCGGTGTTAGGTTCGAAAGGAATTGTGGTAAAATGTACAGCCGCCATATTTTCCCTACGGCGGATTGGGCGCAGGGCCATACATGTCATATAATAAATTAAGGTATCTATCTGTTGTCTATAAAATTTCCGCACTGTATGCTTATTAGAAGTCAAGTAAAATTAGACTCGTTGATTTATATTATATTTCTTATATTTTTCTTCTTATTTTCAATTTGAATTTTTCAGGGTGTGAAGAAAAAACAAGCACTCCTTCTTATTAGACGATATGGCGACGCACATAATAAACTTATATCTCAAAAGCTTTTTTCAGTGCTGTACGGTTAATTAACTTTGAAGTTTTTTTTTTAACTAATTTATTTATTTATTGATGAAAAAATGGTAGTTCGATTGATCGTCTCCACTCATGATCACATGGTTAGCAGCTATCGGAGCAAAAAAAGGTTTTTACATGAGAAAAGAGGCCAGTAGCCTCTAATTTCATTTAACCCCTATATGTCGCAGCTCTTTTGTTTTCGGGCTAGGTTCGATTGCTAACTTTGTTCTTTCATGGTTTTCCCAACCTATCCCGCGAGGCCTTGTTACAGCTGCAAGGCTCCCCAACATGGCGGCCGTTCATTGTTTTGTACACTAAGGGCCTGTTTACAAGGAGAGAGGGTTACCCTTGTGCTAGAGTTAAAGTCAGCTCTAGTTTAAAAGCCAATTTCACAGGTAGAGTTACCCTATCACCCGGCTTTAATGACGTGATTCTTCATGCGTGACATTCTTTGTAACGTCCAAGATTTGAAATAAAACTTGAAGTTCTCTATGGAAAACACATTAATTTTACGAAAAAAAACCGGAAAATATTATCATCGTATGCAGGAAATACCTTATATTGTTCAGACTTTTATAATTTAGCTCAGAAATTGGATAATTCCGTTCAAATTGTCAAGATTACTGGACACGCATGACAGAGGAAAGTTGTCCCGGGTAAGCGAGTTATCCCTAGCAGAGCATTTAAAAGGCAGGTAGGCTCTTGCTAGGGTAAATAAGAGGGAATGTGCGAGTGCTAGGGTAACCAGGGTTACCCTTCCTCCTTGTAAACATGGGCCGTGAAAGGGCGATCTATAGGTCTTCTCCGCGAAATACTGCAATACTCTTTAATATGCAAGCTGAGCCACACCGGTGGATATTTAAAGAAACTTTAGGCTTATTATTCTAATTACATGTAGCAAGAAATGTTAAGAAGGTTCAATTCTCAATTCTCGCTTGGGTCTCAAAAGGTGACCGTACTACGGAAGAGGAAGAAACCGTGTAAACTAGTTGGAATTACAGATTAACGAAAAGCGGTGGGGGTTTTATTAGGAAAATTAAATAACTACGACGACAGAGACAATCTCAAGCACAATTTGCTTTTTGAGAAAAACAACAACTGTTCACTGTCCAGATTCGAGTGGACATGGCGTGAGTTGCATTCTTGTTTGTAACACTTAACTCCTGAGTATATTGGGCTGCCGGTGAGAGCAACGTCCAGTCAAGAATTACCATCCGTCTTTGTCGAAAAAAGACAACATAGCGGACGAAACTCCCAGAAGCTGAGTTTGCGTGTCCCATTCCCCCCTTCAATTTGGCGCGGAGGGGACGGGTCATTTCAGGTCGTCTGGCGAACAGATTTTGTAAGTCGATTTGAAACGAACACAAAATTATTGCGTAGAATTTACGCTTAATGATTATCTAAATACAATATTCGGATGAGGTAGTTAGCCTGTACGGGAGCTGCAGAAACAATGCCCTCTGCCAGTCCTCTTGGGTAAAGCTTCAGCTTCATCTTGCGTTTGTAAAGTCTTTCCTTTTAACACAATAAAGGGATATGCTATTTGTAGGTCCCCCGTCAAATAGAAACAGTCACTTGTATAGTTGGATGGGCTTTAGTTGCAATATCCGACAGAAACCAAACTGAAATTTAATTTGCTTTGCGAGTTTCAAGAAACAGAAATACTGCTAAAAAAGTATTTTGAACACCAAAATTGACCCTTTCAAATTTTATAAGGTAGAACAACAACTGTTTCTGGAATTTCCGGTCTAATCAGATTAGTCACGTTAGTAATGTCATGCTACATTTTGGGGGGCAAAGGGATGGGTGAAGGGGGTGAGTTGTGGAAATGTCTCTGTTAAAAATAATGCCAATCGTTTCTTTCTTCAAAAGGCTATCTCTATCCTATTCCACGGGTTAGGAGTAGCTATACACTCAAGACGGTAAAAAGTGTTTCTATACTTCCCCAAATAATAAACCACTGCATCACGCAATCGGCAGCCCAATGAATCCCCACTATATGGGGGTCTTCTTTAGATTTAAAGTACCCGAACGTATTAAAGCACAAGAAAAAGAAACGATTTTTGTTTATTCCGGAAATGGTTCACGCCTTTTCAGTACATTTTAATAACAATTCGCCGGGCAGGTTGCCACATTTGCGTTTTCGGGTTCGTTCTTTAGAAATAACTGAAAAATACAAATGTTTTTTGTTTGCTTGTTTGTTTTATATAAACTTACCTTCATATCAGTTTCAGCTTTTAATCAAAGTTATTTGGTTGTAAGTGGTATTAAATGTCAAGTTTAGGTTTGCAGAAGTGAACGCGCGATTTTCTAAGAAACTTAAGCGGAAACTGGGAAATGAGAATTTAAATCCTTCAGTTCGATTTCAGTGTTTTTGTAGAAAATAAAAACAACGATTTTTATTTGTCCATGTTCTTATAGACCTTAACCTAAATGCCTTCAAAATGTTTCAACTTTGCAGTGAAATCACTCATCTAAAGATCTTGGCTTGTTACGATCATGTTGAGGTCATTTTTCTAGGGAACTTTGATTAGTCTTGCTCGGTACTCCCGCATAATTGAATTTTTTGCCGGACTTCAAATCGTGATAGGCTTTTTTCTTGCATTTTGGTGAAGCAAAAGCATTAAGCATTGATCAGAGTTATTCGAGCATCGACGTTATCCTGGAAAACTACTATTTTTCTCCGAGCATTTTAATGACTTTTTGGGAGATGTCCGAGTATTTTAGTTTAAAAAATGGAGTATTAAGGTTGAGTATTTGAGTAGGGGAAACAAAAGAATATACAAAAGCTTAAATCGTGGTCTGCTGGTTGTTGCACGTCATTACGCATGAAACAAAGCGTCATTTAGCTTCTAAATGCATTCAGAGCCGTATAGACTTCCCTGCGTTTTCGATTTAAAATGTTAAGTGATAATAAATATAACGTTTCAATGCAGAATGTTACTTACCGTGCGCACAAAATGTCGAGTTCTCGTACAACAGCCAACCCCGGATTGCGGAAGCCACCAAACAACAGGCACAACAGAACGTGTGATCACATGGTTTTAACGTGAAAATGAGGCTAGACCTGCGTGAAGACGAGGTAAATTTGGTCGTTCTGGGCCCAAAGTTCACTTACTTTCTGATCAGCTCCTTGAGAAAGGAACCTCTGGGACACCCTCATATCCAATGGCCCCAAATTGCCAGGATATAGAGGAACTAACATAGATCAACATAGGTTTGGCGGGATGCGAGATAAGCCATTTTTCGCTGCCGGAATGCGGGATGAAAGACAATTGGAAGGCGGGATGCGGGATGTTTAAAAGCGGGCGGGAAGCAGGAAGTTAGTCATTCTCATGGCGGGACGCGGGAATTCTTGATTTTTTCCGGGCGGGAAACGGGATGGATGACGACATTGCACTCCAATATTTCACCATTCCACGAAGCGGAAAACCTATTGTAGTCTATGTTAACTAGTACGTGATTATTTACACCGTTTGCAGAGATGCCAACCTCTGGAGATTTAAAATCTGGAGATTTTTTCTCAGCCTCCTTACACTCCACCCCACCGCCCGTAAAATGATTTTTCCCCTCCTACCCCCCCCCCCCAAAAAAAAACACCCCCCCCC